AAAAGTTTTCATCTAAAATAATTATTCCCAAATCATTAACATCAAATTGGTAAATATCGTCGTTGCTGCCGCCGATTTATTGCGGAAACAGATAAACGTCGGAATATTTATTCTCCAGTCAATGAGGTAATAATACTATGAGGAGGAAAATATCGTCTTTGTTAATTATTCGTCATGAAAATTACTATAATCATACTGGATGCTCTTCTTGATCGGACCTCGAAATCTTTCCGGAGCCAGGAATTTCATTTCTCCATCAGCTTTTGCACTTGCCTGAAATGTTGATTTCAAATCGATCGTCCTGATGTTCTTTGGATAAATTTTATTAGAAACGAGTAAAATTTGGAAATAAAATCGGAACTTATTCGCTTTGTTCCGGAATTCTTTGAATGAGAAACAAATTTTGCACAATAATAAATCGGTCATGGAAGTGAAAAAAAAAGAAAAAAAAAAGGTAGATTAACTTACCTGCAGCACAGGTATACATGCTAGGGCGATTGTTTCAATTTGTTCCGAGTATGTTTGACACAATTCGTCAAATTTTAGCACACGAATTTGATAACGAAGCGGTTCACACTCGAAGATTCGCTTGCCAATTAGTTTGGGTGGCGGATGAGCGCACATGCAGCGTACTTCCGCCAGAGCTGCCGGAACTCTCTTAAAACATTAAATGTACTACTACTATCTTAGAATAGCACTGTATATAAAGTGCTGGAATGATAGATCATTTTCCTGTAATTGCCCTGCCCTGAGTGTTTCGATTTAGTAGGTAACGGATCAATGGCGTTATTCCTTCAAAATATTTCAAAACATTCAAAGAAGTTATTTGTGATTGCATTTTTGAAGCGTTCTTTGTTGATCGATTAAATGCAAAAATACATTTTACTTGTGCCATTTTGTGAGTTATTTATTTGTTTGAAATTGAATTGCAAATGAAAATCTATTATAGAGAGACGGATCAGAAATCCGGTACTCCGGAATTCTGATCATTCTAAATTTGCTCCGCCCCTTCAATATGAGATATAATTGTGATGGAAGGAAGTATTGATTACTCGTGATAGATGATAATTATCAGAGTATTAGAACTAAGCTGATAAATAATTCCGTTATCAATCATTTTGACAAAAAGATTTTTTAATTGATAACAAGTTTTATTCAACTGATTGTTTTTCTGGGTTTCATCACATTTCGAGCTGTTTGTCACTGTAAAAAGGTTGTCAGCAGATTTCGTCAAAGAATAAAAGTTGAAATAACAATTTGAATTTCAATTTTTTCTTTCGCATTTTTCTGCTCATTCGTTCACATTGCAACAGTGCAATTCCTGGCACCGAAGCAATTTATCATTTTTTTGCTTCGTTTTGTTTTTCAGTGTAAAAATCAATTAAAACTGACACAAAAGGATATGATTGATTGTAAATTGACAAGAAATTCAGGCATTTCAAGCTTCAGTCATGCAAACCGGTATTTAGAGATATCTTCAACAGTCTTCCGAAGAAACGTTCCTGATGTAAATCTTAAGGTTCGCATTGCAGTCCGTCTTCCGCATAAAAAGATGAGAACGACGTACCAGCGGATTATAATTCAAAAAATATTCGAAATAACACAATGCGCGTTCTCTCAGCGGTGCTTCCGGTGTTATCGCTGGGAGTTCCGGGGTTTCGCAGTCAGCGACTCCATGGCTTACTTGTTCTCCGTCCTTCAGTGCATTTAACTAAAGTAAAGGATGCGTAAAGAACAATGGTAAAATCTCCACAAATATTCAAAGAAGTTTATGAGATTAAAGAAGAACTTACGACGAACTGAACTTTAAGTTCCGCGGTGCTTTTTTATTCTGCCCGCAGAATTAAGACGGCATTTTTCTTCTGGCATAAGCATAAGCAAAATTTGTGAGATTTGGAAAAAAAATTTTTTTTTTTTGTAATATTTATTCCTGGATAAATCGAAAGTTACAAAAGGAGGAGTCGAACAAATTATATACATTCAGCTCAGTTTCAGTTTTTAAAATTCTTTCTCTGTTTACCTTTTTTTTTTTATTTCCAATAATTCGAAAAAGGTAAACGGAATTGAATTATCGCTCTGTATCTCTTCCCAGTGTAATATATTCTTTTGTGAAATATTACTCCTTTATCAATCATAAACTGATAAGCATTATGAATCTGAGATTCCCCATTCCCTATATTTGCTACTTTGAATGAAACACTGACAGTCTTCCATTGAAATTGATAATTTATTCCAATTGAAATGGTTCAGGTAAATTAATTGTTGATTTGCCACATAGAACACCTTTGTCACAGTTCCCATTTGAATGTGTGATAAATCGATGTCAAAGTTAAATTTTGGGGAAGGAAAAGTTGCAACAGAGTAGCAAGAACTGAAATAATGCACGAAATAAATGCCCGCGGGATTCCTTCAAAAGTAAGTAATTTACTCTGACCTGTAAATTCAGTAACGATTGCTGATAAATGGGCGCAATGGGCGTATAATGCGAGGCATTCTTTCTGTGCAACCATTCCGCGAAACTCTGGTGATGATCTCTTTTGATGTAGCGGTAGAAACATTCTGAATTCCTTCCTGATTCCAACAATGTCTTAGCGACGTATTGTCCGTTACTGAAAATGCGACAGCAAATGAAAATGATTTGTCTAAATTTAAGATATTTGGAGATAGTTTAAAATTTGTTTGCACTTTTTTTGGAAAGAAGCAGTGATTATATGAGATCGATGAATAATATTTATCCTATTAATATTTATTCTGCAATTTCGCATTTTTTTTTAAACCTACTATCGGGCTATAGTACTAGAATGAATATTGAGGTAGGACTTACGCGTAAAATTTGTAAATATTTTCACTTGAAATAATAGCATTACGTCCAAGTTATAGACTTAACATTTGGTTGTTTATTTAACTGAATTTGAATAAATTTTATTAAATCGAACTTTAATCGAACATCAATTCGAATTAATTTACCGAATGAATTTGTCACTTTTATGAAACATATTGTTTAACTGCAATATTTTCACTTATGATTTCTCTTCTCCCAAATAGCCCTTTCAATTCATTTTCTGCTTAATCCAAATTTGTTTCAGTGTGGAAAAGATTGGAATTCTTCACAAAGGTTAAAAAATTAAGACTTTTGGTTTAACGTTAATGTTCGGTTTAAAATCTGTTCTTTGTATCTGTCTGTAGCCATTAATTATATTTTCTAGATAATGATTCAAAATTTTAGTTTTAAACAGTGTTGTTATATTTTAAATAGTTTCTTCATTTTATTAAGTGAATTTTTTCTTCTTTCTTCCTTCTGTCTTCCTTTGTCTGACTCCTTCTCTCCCTTTTATCATTAAAAAGAAAAATAACAAATTTATAGCAAATGACTAATTACGTATTTAAAGTACTGTAATGTTTACTTCTATTTTCACAATTACTAATTGTTACTAATGAGATATATTTAAGGCATTTATTGTTTTATATATGTCTGATTAGTAGTAAATTTTTGTGGAAATCGTGAAATTATTTTCAGTTCAAATTTTGTATAACTTTGAGAATTTTTATTTAAACTTTATTTGATTCTCATTTTCTATTCGGTAATGCATATAATATCTTTTTGTCTCCATTGCTATATTTTCGAAGTTATAAAAGGACGAAGTTTCAGTGCTATTGAAATTTATAATAAGTTAAATGAAGGTAGAAGTAATTACCCGGCGCTCACTTATTAGCAGCTACATTAATTCCAATTTAAATGCTAAAACCGATTTAAATTCTTACGAAAATACAGCTTTCTCATTATGAAGTCACAGAAAACGTCCGTTTTGTGTTGTTTGCTACAAATTACTATTAGAATTAATTAGTGCTATTGTTTCAGCTACTGCATTGGTGGTTTTCAACTCTCATAAGTATGACAGCTGAGGTTCAAGCAACAGGTAAATTGGTTTATTACTCATTTCCACTGCAATTAAATCAGTCAAAAATTTTAAATTCTTTGAATTTAGTGTCTATTTTTTATTTCATAGATTTCACATTGCATCTGTAAAAGCAAATTTAGAATTTCTTTCTTACTGCCCTTATGAAACAAAGTAGTTTTCCATTGTTGATAGTTCAGATCGTTGACTTCTTTGTCTTCGATACTGGTAGAATCTCGAATTTGTACTGGTTCCATTCTGTGTACGTGTACTGTGAGAGTCTTCGTGAAATACTTTATTATTGAAACCTCAAACTTGGGTAATTAAACACAGATAACATTAAATATTATACAACATTACAATAATGAATTGATATCTAACACACAAATGTAACTTAATTATAAACCATTTAAAGATACAAGCAAACTAGACACCTCGCAACCGAGTCATACCAAACAAGGAACTATAATGAATGACTTTGTAAGGAAGAAATTGGGAGGGACTTTATGGATGCTAAGGTTACAAAGTGGATTAAAATCACTTAAAACAATAGTCTTTGTTCATTAGGTTATAGCTTTGCCATTGTGGCGACAGCATCATTTAACCCTTCGGCATATGCAAATTTCAATGTGATCCAACTTTTATGAAGTATTGATCAACAAATATGGCTGAGTTAATTAAATTAGACTTTTAAGGTTTTAATATTCACTTTACTTAATGGCTTAAACGGCACTATTTGAATATCTTAGTATTTAATCAAATTTCTCATTCTTTGGTAAAATAACCCAATGGATCCTACTGTATTAGTGATAAGCAAACCCATTTAGTCTAGCAACTGTGAATCTGTGATGACTTGCGACTCTTAAGATAACATTGAAATATCAATAAGCAAAATGATAAGTGATGGAAATAAGTAACTAATCGTAATTTCAAATTCCTCATCGCTTACCTTAAGTGTAACAATAATTATTGTTGTAAAAGTTACTAAAAGTTTTTAATTTAATTAATATATATGTACCATAATTCATTTGTCATTTCAGCCCTTTTGGGTTCCGCACGGTTAAACCTTGCATTAGTTGGATTTGTGGGTTTTTTGTTGTCTTCATGTCACGTACTGATGTCAGTTTTGCAATCGTTTGTATGGTAAATAGTACAGCGGTAGAAATGATAACTGGTACCAATGATGCAAATGTTACCAAGAAAACTGCGACATGTGCGCCACGGGATGATAGCGAATTGAGTGAAAGGGAAGCTGTATGTCTCTCACTTCATTCAGCCATTTTCAACTAAAATTTCAATGCAAATAATATTTAATTCTCTTTCCTTTAACCAAAGCATTAGAGGAAATTTAATTGTGTCAAAGAAAGCGTTAATGAATTGCATTGAAAGCATTCTATTTCTTTGCAAACTTAATCTTACGTTATTATTAAGTAAAAAAAAAGCAAAGAGAGATATTGCAAAGACATCTAATTTTTTAATTAGTTTCAGTATATGGGTGAATTTATTTGGACAAAAGATGTACAAGGATATGTATTAAGTGCCTTTTTTTGGGGCTATATAAGTAGCCAAATTCTTGGTGGTTATTTGGCCAGTCGATATGGCGGTCGTTTGGTAATTGGTATTACGGTTCTGGGATGTGCAATTCTTACACTCCTCAGCCCAATAGCCGCGACAACTAGCGTTTTTGCATTTATTATTGCTCGAGCTATCATAGGCTTTATGCAGGTATTACAATAAGCCTAGTAATTTTTAATCGTTGTTAAGCTAAAACTATTACTTGTAATGTATAATTTTACAAGCAAATTTTCACTTTTCCATGTTTTTCGAGTTATTTTTCCATAAGATATCATATATTTTTTGTCCTCTTAGAAATTTTTGTTCAAGTATTGGATTTAGTTTTTTAGTTTATATAGATTTTAAGGTTTCGAATTTTCAGGGTGCCATATTTCCTGCGTACCATGCAATGTGGTCAATGTGGGCACCACCTCTGGAAAGAAGTTTATTAACCGGTGTAACATATGCAGGTTCGTCTTTTTCTTATCCTTAAGAATTTGACAGTAAATTAAAACTCCGAATTAATTTTTAACCTATTTCAAAAATGGTTTCAGATTGAACGATGCATTTGACCAATTTTTTGATCAAAATAAATCTTCTTACAGGTGCTCAAATAGGTAATACAGCTGTCATGCCACTGTCTGGTTTACTTTGCAAATATGGATTTGCTGGTGGTTGGCCATCCATCTTTTACGTTATCGGTAAATTTGTAAAATTTTTTGTGTTTCTGAATTTCCTGAGATTCATCTAATTCATATTTTAAAGAGTCATCTTTATATGATTATTAAAAGTACTTTTTTTAAAGGTACGGCAGGTGTTTTATGGTGTGTTCTTTGGTTCTCCTATGTTTCGGATCGACCATCTCAGAGCAAACGTATTTCTAAAAAGGAGCTAAGCTATATCGAAAATTCATTAGCTGATATATTAGCATCGGATTCAAAAAAAGTAATAATTTTTTGGATTAGTTGCCGAATTTTATAAATTCGTCTATCATTCATTAGTTAGGTATGTCATGAAACTTGGACGTCTGTTACTTAATAGCTTAAAGTCGATTGAACTCTCGTATGCTAAAGAGCCTTCCTTGTTTATTATTATAGTTAGTATAGACGGATGAGTTGAGTGAAAGTCTATTTTATTCGTTAGCAAGCACAATATATAGGTATCAATCTATAGCAATAATACAGATATAATTTCATGAAGTATCAAAGAATGAGATGGAAATGAATAAATGTATAAATTGATGGGGAAAGTAGCTAACTTACCCAAGCTAAGGGATTTAAATCCTTATATTGTGGGCATTGTCTTGCAACAAGTGCATGATGATTACACTGAATAAAGGACTATCAGATGATCTTTACTCTTTGTGAGAGTGAGAGATGGGTTTTGGTATTGTCAAAAATAACTATTAGATTGGGAAACCTTTACAATATTTCGACATTGCAAGCAGTAAAAGAGTAGTTTTTAACGTATTAAACAATGCAGTACCTTTGATTAACAGTTGGAAATTTCTAGACAAACAGATAAACTACAATGGAAAGATGAGTGGTGGAATAATGGTTGCTTCATTAGGTGCAGTTTGAAATAATTTTATATTTCTTGAGAATGTTCAATTAAGACAAATTTTAGTATTATGAATTAATACAATTTTATTTGATATATTTTGTGAGTTGTTTGGATACTTATTTCGAGTTTCGCGACAAGGTAATAAGGAATATCAATGTTTGTGGGAGGGAATTAAAAGATCTTAACGAACATACGCAATTATGCAATCATAAAAGTGACCTTTTGGTGTTACTATTTCGCAGTCATTTTCAAGAGTTGAAATTCTGATCCAATTCTTTTTTATAGAAAAAAGCTGTTCCATGGCTTGCAATATTCAGATCAGTTCCAGTTTGGGCAGTTTTTTGTGGGCATTTTGCCGGTGATTGGGGTGGTCACATGATGATAACCACCCTTCCGTTATTCATGAATGATGTTTTGGGATTAGATTTCGCTTCGGTTTGCTTATTCTCAGTTATTTCTTGAAACGAAATTGCTAAAATAGCATTCGCAATATTCTTAGCATAAATAATCTAGTAGTCGAATAAAACTTGTCGTATTTATTCAAATCTCATTAAAAAATTCAGTGCTTAATATCGTATCTTTACTTACACACCAATGAGCTAGCAAGCTGATTCTTTCAAAAATGTTTTTTCAGTGAAAAGTTTATTAATTTAATATATTTTAGCTTGGATTTTTGACAGCAATTCCGTACATTACATATTTCGTATGTATGAATTTTGGTGGTTTTACTGCCGATAAACTGCAGAAAGCAAATGTTTTATCAACTATAGCTATTCGGCGTCTTGCTATGATCATTTGTAGGTTTCTTTTGAGAGTTATGGCATTATATTTCGTTAAATTAACCTGAAATTAGTAAAAAATATGATTGACAGGAAATCATGATGACAAATTTGAGCGTAATTTTGCGATCTTATATAATGCGTTCGCTAATTGTTCACGTACTCCACGTATTAATTGATTTTTTGGTACTATAATATAAATTATAAGCTGTTATTACTTAACAGTTTTGTGCTTACATGCTTAATTAATTAGTGAGAATTAATGAAACGAAATTAATTGGTATAAGCTGGCTAATTTAACATAATTTAATGTATAACTGCCAAAATTATAGCACTTGGAAGTCAAGCAGTATTTTTGATAGCTAGCGGTTATTGCGGTTGTGGTCAGGAAACCTTAGTAACTATATTCCTTACCGTTGGGATTGGTTTATCCGGAATACAATACTCCGGTTACATGGTCAGTTATCTCGACATTGCACCAGCCTTTGCTGGACCTATATTAGGTATCGGCAATACGATACCATGTATCGCTGGTATCATAGGTCCGGTGATGGTTGGCTATCTCACTCCCACGGTAATTTTCATTCCATTTTATGACTTTCTCTATTTTCCAACATATATCATGCAATTTTTTATAAATTTTGCATTTCTTAAATTTCACTTTTAGATGTTTTTACCGGCCAAATTCCCATTAACCTCACAAAAAAAGGAAATTACTTAAATGAATTCAATTTAATGAAAAAAGAAATGTTTCGCTTATTTTAGGGTTCACAGCAAGAATGGCAATTAGTTTTTTGGATTACCGGTGGAGTCTTATTGGCCGGTACTACCATTTTCTGTTTATTTGCCAAAGGTGAAGTGCAGCCTTGGGCATTGAGCGATATTGACAAAGAAGAAAATTGTGAACTGGAAAAAAAGACACTTAATAGCTCGGAGAGCTCACCGTGATTAGTAAAAATTTATATTAGATAATTTTTCTTTTGAAGGCTAAACTTAAATATTTTTGTGTATTTTGGAAGCGATCAGTTCGAGAAATCTTTTGTTCCCATTCGTAATTACGAGCGCAATAGACCGTTAATTGTTGATGTTAATTTTGTAAAGAAACATTTTTGAGATAAACACAGTGTCATTAGTATTACATAACTTAACAATTTCCATTTCACAACTAATATTTCCATTCCGTTTTTTAAATTGACTTCTTCTAAAAGATTTTATTTGTTGACAGTAAATTTTAATTAGTTTTTAATAGTTTTGTTGATTTTTTCATGAATTGTAGTATTGTTTCGGAATAACGTTGTGTGGTTCATGAAATCGGATTCTGTTCATTTTTTTGTTTGATAAGTTCACTTTCAATGTATGCTTATTAATACGAAAATTTAAACATATGTTCAAAGTAAGCTTACTCTACAGACATTAATCTCAAAAAGTATACGTTAGCAAAATTTATCGCTCTAATTAAGGCTTTTTCACAGATTAATGGTTCGTAAAAAAGTTTTCATCTAAAATAATTATTCCCAAATCATTAACATCAAATTGGTAAATATCGTCGTTGCTGCCGCCGATTTATTGCGGAAACAGATAAACGTCGGAATATTTATTCTCCAGTCAATGAGGTAATAATACTATGAGGAGGAAAATATCGTCTTTGTTAATTATTCGTCATGAAAATTACTATAATCATACTGGATGCTCTTCTTGATCGGACCTCGAAATCTTTCCGGAGCCAGGAATTTCATTTCTCCATCAGCTTTTGCACTTGCCTGAAATGTTGATTTCAAATCGATCGTCCTGATGTTCTTTGGATAAATTTTATTAGAAACGAGTAAAATTTGGAAATAAAATCGGAACTTATTCGCTTTGTTCCGGAATTCTTTGAATGAGAAACAAATTTTGCACAATAATAAATCGGTCATGGAAGTGAAAGAAAAAGAGAAAAAAAAAAGGTAGATTAACTTACCTGCAGCACAGGTATACATGCTAGGGCGATTGTTTCAATTTGTTCCGAGTATGTTTGACACAGTTCGTCAAATTTTAGCACACGAATTTGATAACGAAGCGGTTCACACTCGAAGATTCGCTTGCCAATTAGTTTGGGTGGCGGATGAGCGCACATGCAGCGTACTTCCGCCAGAGCTGCCGGAACTCTCTTAAAACATTAAATGTACTACTACTATCTTAGAATAGCACTGTATATAAAGTGCTGGAATGATAGATCATTTTCCTGTAATTGCCCTGCCCTGAGTGTTTCGATTTAGTAGGTAACGGATCAATGGCGTTATTCCTTCAAAATATTTCAAAACATTCAAAGAAGTTATTTGTGATTGCATTTTTGAAGCGTTCTTTGTTGATCGATTAAATGCAAAAAATACATTTTACTTGTGCCATTTTGTGAGTTATTTATTTGTTTGAAATTGAATTGCAAATGAAAATCTATTATAGAGAGACGGATCAGAAATCCGGTACTCCGGAATTCTGATCATTCCTAAATTTGCTCCGCCCCTTCAATATGAGATATAATTGTGATGGAAGGAAGTATTGATTACTCGTGATAGATGATAATTATCAGAGTATTAGAACTAAGCTGATAAATAATTCCGTTATCAATCATTTTGACAAAAAGATTTTTTAATTGATAACAAGTTTTATTCAACTGATTGTTTTTCTGGGTTTCATCACATTTCGAGCTGTTTGTCACTGTAAAAAGGTTGTCAGCAGATTTCGTCAAAGAATAAAAGTTGAAATAACAATTTGAATTTCAATTTTTCTTTCGCATTTTTCTGCTCATTCGTTCACATTGCAACAGTGCAATTCCTGGCACCGAAGCAATTTATCATTTTTTTGCTTCGTTTTGTTTTTCAGTGTAAAAATCAATTAAAACTGACACAAAAGGATATGATTGATTGTAAATTGACAAGAAATTCAGGCATTTCAAGCTTCAGTCATGCAAACCGGTATTTAGAGATATCTTCAACAGTCTTCCGAAGAAACGTTCCTGATGTAAATCTTAAGGTTCGCATTGCAGTCCGTCTTCCGCATAAAAAGATGAGAACGACGTACCAGCGGATTATAATTCAAAAAATATTCGAAATAACACAATGCGCGTTCTCTCAGCGGTGCTTCCGGTGTTATCGCTGGGAGTTCCGGGGTTTCGCAGTCAGCGACTCCATGGCTTACTTGTTCTCCGTCCTTCAGTGCATTTAACTAAAGTAAAGGATGCGTAAAGAACAATGGTAAAATCTCCACAAATATTCAAAGAAGTTTATGAGATTAAAGAAGAACTTACGACGAACTGAACTTTAAGTTCCGCGGTGCTTTTTATTCTGCCCGCAGAATTAAGACGGCATTTTTCTTCTGGCATAAGCATAAGCAAAATTTGTGAGATTTGGAAAAAAAATTTTTTTTTTTTGTAATATTTATTCCTGGATAAATCGAAAGTTACAAAAGGAGGAGTCGAACAAATTATATACATTCAGCTCAGTTTCAGTTTTTAAAATTCTTTCTCTGTTTACCTTTTTTTTTTTATTTCCAATAATTCGAAAAAGGTAAACGGAATTGAATTATCGCTCTGTATCTCTTCCCAGTGTAATATATTCTTTTGTGAAATATTACTCCTTTATCAATCATAAACTGATAAGCATTATGAATCTGAGATTCCCCATTCCCTATATTTGCTACTTTGAATGAAACACTGACAGTCTTCCATTGAAATTGATAATTTATTCCAATTGAAATGGTTCAGGTAAATTAATTGTTGATTTGCCACATAGAACACCTTTGTCACAGTTCCCATTTGAATGTGTGATAAATCGATGTCAAAGTTAAATTTTGGGGAAGGAAAAGTTGCAACAGAGTAGCAAGAACTGAAATAATGCACGAAATAAATGCCCGCGGGATTCCTTCAAAAGTAAGTAATTTACTCTGACCTGTAAATTCAGTAACGATTGCTGATAAATGGGCGCAATGGGCGTATAATGCGAGGCATTCTTTCTGTGCAACCATTCCGCGAAACTCTGGTGATGATCTCTTTTGATGTAGCGGTAGAAACATTCTGAATTCCTTCCTGATTCCAACAATGTCTTAGCGACGTATTGTCCGTTACTGAAAATGCGACAGCAAATGAAAATGATTTGTCTAAATTTAAGATATTTGGAGATAGTTTAAAATTTGTTTGCACTTTTTTGGAAAGAAGCAGTGATTATATGAGATCGATGAATAATATTTATCCTATTAATATTTATTCTGCAATTTCGCATTTTTTTTTAAACCTACTATCGGGCTATAGTACTAGAATGAATATTGAGGTAGGACTTACGCGTAAAATTTGTAAATATTTTCACTTGAAATAATAGCATTACGTCCAAGTTATAGACTTAACATTTGGTTGTTTATTTAACTGAATTTGAATAAATTTTATTAAATCGAACTTTAATCGAACATCAATTCGAATTAATTTACCGAATGAATTTGTCACTTTTATGAAACATATTGTTTAACTGCAATATTTTCACTTATGATTTCTCTTCTCCCAAATAGCCCTTTCAATTCATTTTCTGCTTAATCCAAATTTGTTTCAGTGTGGAAAAGATTGGAATTCTTCACAAAGGTTAAAAAATTAAGACTTTTGGTTTAACGTTAATGTTCGGTTTAAAATCTGTTCTTTGTATCTGTCTGTAGCCATTAATTATATTTTCTAGATAATGATTCAAAATTTTAGTTTTAAACAGTGTTGTTATATTTTAAATAGTTTCTTCATTTTATTAAGTGAATTTTTCTTCTTTCTTCCTTCTGTCTTCCTTTGTCTGACTCCTTCTCTCCCTTTTATCATTAAAAAGAAAAATAACAAATTTATAGCAAATGACTAATTACGTATTTAAAGTACTGTAATGTTTACTTCTATTTTCACAATTACTAATTGTTACTAATGAGATATATTTAAGGCATTTATTGTTTTATATATGTCTGATTAGTAGTAAATTTTTGTGGAAATCGTGAAATTATTTTCAGTTCAAATTTTGTATAACTTTGAGAATTTTTATTTAAACTTTATTTGATTCTCATTTTCTATTCGGTAATGCATATAATATCTTTTTGTCTCCATTGCTATATTTTCGAAGTTATAAAAGGACGAAGTTTCAGTGCTATTGAAATTTATAATAAGTTAAATGAAGGTAGAAGTAATTACCCGGCGCTCACTTATTAGCAGCTACATTAATTCCAATTTAAATGCTAAAACCGATTTAAATTCTTACGAAAATACAGCTTTCTCATTATGAAGTCACAGAAAACGTCCGTTTTGTGTTGTTTGCTACAAATTACTATTAGAATTAATTAGTGCTATTGTTTCAGCTACTGCATTGGTGGTTTTCAACTCTCATAAGTATGACAGCTGAGGTTCAAGCAACAGGTAAATTGGTTTATTACTCATTTCCACTGCAATTAAATCAGTCAAAAATTTTAAATTCTTTGAATTTAGTGTCTATTTTTTATTTCATAGATTTCACATTGCATCTGTAAAAGCAAATTTAGAATTTCTTTCTTACTGCCCTTATGAAACAAAGTAGTTTTCCATTGTTGATAGTTCAGATCGTTGACTTCTTTGTCTTCGATACTGGTAGAATCTCGAATTTGTACTGGTTCCATTCTGTGTACGTGTACTGTGAGAGTCTTCGTGAAATACTTTATTATTGAAACCTCAAACTTGGGTAATTAAACACAGATAACATTAAATATTATACAACATTACAATAATGAATTGATATCTAACACACAAATGTAACTTAATTATAAACCATTTAAAGATACAAGCAAACTAGACACCTCGCAACCGAGTCATACCAAACAAGGAACTATAATGAATGACTTTGTAAGGAAGAAATTGGGAGGGACTTTATGGATGCTAAGGTTACAAAGTGGATTAAAATCACTTAAAACAATAGTCTTTGTTCATTAGGTTATAGCTTTGCCATTGTGGCGACAGCATCATTTAACCCTTCGGCATATGCAAATTTCAATGTGATCCAACTTTTATGAAGTATTGATCAACAAATATGGCTGAGTTAATTAAATTAGACTTTTAAGGTTTTAATATTCACTTTACTTAATGGCTTAAACGGCACTATTTGAATATCTTAGTATTTAATCAAATTTCTCATTCTTTGGTAAAATAACCCAATGGATCCTACTGTATTAGTGATAAGCAAACCCATTTAGTCTAGCAACTGTGAATCTGTGATGACTTGCGACTCTTAAGATAACATTGAAATATCAATAAGCAAAATGATAAGTGATGGAAATAAGTAACTAATCGTAATTTCAAATTCCTCATCGCTTACCTTAAGTGTAACAATAATTATTGTTGTAAAAGTTACTAAAAGTTTTTAATTTAATTAATATATATGTACCATAATTCATTTGTCATTTCAGCCCTTTTGGGTTCCGCACGGTTAAACCTTGCATTAGTTGGATTTGTGGGGTTTTTTGTTGTCTTCATGTCACGTACTGATGTCAGTTTTGCAATCGTTTGTATGGTAAATAGTACAGCGGTAGAAATGATAACTGGTACCAATGATGCAAATGTTACCAAGAAAACTGCGACATGTGCGCCACGGGATGATAGCGAATTGAGTGAAAGGGAAGCTGTATGTCTCTCACTTCATTCAGCCATTTTCAACTAAAATTTCAATGCAAATAATATTTAATTCTCTTTCCTTTAACCAAAGCATTAGAGGAAATTTAATTGTGTCAAAGAAAGCGTTAATGAATTGCATTGAAAGCATTCTATTTCTTTGCAAACTTAATCTTACGTTATTATTAAGTAAAAAAAAAGCAAAGAGAGATATTGCAAAGACATCTAATTTTTTAATTAGTTTCAGTATATGGGTGAATTTATTTGGACAAAAGATGTACAAGGATATGTATTAAGTGCCTTTTTTGGGGCTATATAAGTAGCCAAATTCTTGGTGGTTATTTGGCCAGTCGATATGGCGGTCGTTTGGTAATTGGTATTACGGTTCTGGGATGTGCAATTCTTACACTCCTCAGCCCAATAGCCGCGACAACTAGCGTTTTTGCATTTATTATTGCTCGAGCTATCATAGGCTTTATGCAGGTATTACAATAAGCCTAGTAATTTTTAATCGTTGTTAAGCTAAAACTATTACTTGTAATGTATAATTTTACAAGCAAATTTTCACTTTTCCATGTTTTTCGAGTTATTTTTCCATAAGATATCATATATTTTTTGTCCTCTTAGAAATTTTTGTTCAAGTATTGGATTTAGTTTTTTAGTTTATATAGATTTTAAGGTTTCGAATTTTCAGGGTGCCATATTTCCTGCGTACCATGCAATGTGGTCAATGTGGGCACCACCTCTGGAAAGAAGTTTATTAACCGGTGTAACATATGCAGGTTCGTCTTTTTCTTATCCTTAAGAATTTGACAGTAAATTAAAACTCCGAATTAATTTTAACCTATTTCAAAAATGGTTTCAGATTGAACGATGCATTTGATCAATTTTTTGATCAAAATAAATCTTCTTACAGGTGCTCAAATAGGTAATACAGCTGTCATGCCACTGTCTGGTTTACTTTGCAAATATGGATTTGCTGGTGGTTGGCCATCCATCTTTTACGTTATCGGTAAATTTGTAAAATTTTTTGTGTTTCTGAATTTCCTGAGATTCATCTAATTCATATTTTAAAGAGTCATCTTTATATGATTATTAAAAGTACTTTTTTTAAAGGTACGGCAGGTGTTTTATGGTGTGTTCTTTGGTTCTCCTATGTTTCGGATCGACCATCTCAGAGCAAACGTATTTCTAAAAAGGAGCTAAGCTATATCGAAAATTCATTAGCTGATATATTAGCATCGGATTCAAAAAAAGTAATAATTTTTTGGATTAGTTGCCGAATTTTATAAATTCGTCTATCATTCATTAGTTAGGTATGTCATGAAACTTGGACGTCTGTTACTTAATAGCTTAAAGTCGATTGAACTCTCGTATGCTAAAGAGCCTTCCTTGTTTATTATTATAGTTAGTATAGACGGATGAGTTGAGTGAAAGTCTATTTTATTCGTTAGCAAGCACAATATATAGGTATCAATCTATAGCAATAATACAGATATAATTTCATGAAGTATCAAAGAATGAGATGGAAATGAATAAATGTATAAATTGATGGGGAAAGTAGCTAACTTACCCAAGCTAAGGGATTTAAATCCTTATATTGTGGGCATTGTCTTGCAACAAGTGCATGATGATTACACTGAATAAAGGACTATCAGATGATCTTTACTCTTTGTAGAGTGAGAGATGGGTTTTGGTATTGTCAAAAATAACTATTAGATTGGGAAACCTTTACAATATTTCGACATTGCAAGCAGTAAAAGAGTAGTTTTTAACGTATTAAACAATGCAGTACCTTTGATTAACAGTTGGAAATTTCTAGACAAACAGATAAACTACAATGGAAAGATGAGTGGTGGAATAATGGTTGCTTCATTAGGTGCAGTTTGAAATAATTTTATATTTCTTGAGAATGTTCAATTAAGACAAATTTTAGTATTATGAATTAATACAATTTTATTTGATATATTTTGTGAGTTGTTTGGATACTTATTTCGAGTTTCGCGACAAGGTAATAAGGAATATCAATGTTTGTGGGAGGGAATTAAAAGATCTTAACGAACATACGCAATTATGCAATCATAAAAGTGACCTTTTGGTGTTACTATTTCGCAGTCATTTTCAAGAGTTGAAATTCTGATCCAATTCTTTTTTATAGAAAAAAGCTGTTCCATGGCTTGCAATATTCAGATCAGTTCCAGTTTGGGCAGTTTTTTGTGGGCATTTTGCCGGTGATTGGGGTGGTCACATGATGATAACCACCCTTCCGTTATTCATGAATGATGTTTTGGGATTAGATTTCGCTTCGGTTTGCTTATTCTCAGTTATTTCTTGAAACGAAATTGCTAAAATAGCATTCGCAATATTCTTAGCATAAATAATCTAGTAGTCGAATAAAACTTGTCGTATTTATTCAAATCTCATTAAAAAATTCAGTGCTTAATATCGTATCTTTACTTACACACCAATGAGCTAGCAAGCTGATTCTTTCAAAAATGTTTTTTCAGTGAAAAGTTTATTAATTTAATATATTTTAGCTTGGATTTTTGACAGCAATTCCGTACATTACATATTTCGTATGTATGAATTTTGGTGGTTTTACTGCCGATAAACTGCAGAAAGCAAATGTTTTATCAACTATAGCTATTCGGCGTCTTGCTATGATCATTTGTAGGTTTCTTTTGAGAGTTATGGCATTATATTTCGTTAAATTAACCTGAAATTAGTAAAAAATATGATTGACAGGAAATCATGATGACAAATTTGAGCGTAATTTTGCGATCTTATATAATGCGTTCGCTAATTGTTCACGTACTCCACGTATTAATTGATTTTTTGGCACTATAATATAAATTATAAGCTGTTATTACTTAACAGTTTTGTGCTTACATGCTTAATTAATTAGTGAGAATTAATGAAACGAAATTAATTGGTATAAGCTGGCTAATTTAACATAATTTAATGTATAACTGCCAAAATTATAGCACTTGGAAGTCAAGCAGTATTTTTGATAGCTAGCGGTTATTGCGGTTGTGGTCAGGAAACCTTAGTAACTATATTCCTTACCGTTGGGATTGGTTTATCCGGAATACAATACTCCGGTTACATGGTCAGTTATCTCGACATTGCACCAGCCTTTGCTGGACCTATATTAGGTATCGGCAATACGATACCATGTATCGCTGGTATCATAGGTCCGGTGATGGTTGGCTATCTCACTCCCACGGTAATTTTCATTCCATTTTATGACTTTCTCTATTTTCCAACATATATCATGCAATTTTTTATAAATTTTGCATTTCTTAAATTTCACTTTTAGATGTTTTTACCGGCCAAATTCCCATTAACCTCACAAAAAAAGGAAATTACTTAAATGAATTCAATTTAATGAAAAAGAAATGTTTCGCTTATTTTAGGGTTCACAGCAAGAATGGCAATTAGTTTTTGGATTACCGGTGGAGTCTTATTGGCCGGTACTACCATTTTCTGTTTATTTGCCAAAGGTGAAGTGCAGCCTTGGGCATTGAGCGATATTGACAAAGAAGAAAATTGTGAACTGGAAAAAAAGACACTTAATAGCTCGGAGAGCTCACCGTGATTAGTAAAAATTTATATTAGATAATTTTTCTTTTGAAGGCTAAACTTAAATATTTTTGTGTATTTTGGAAGCGATCAGTTCGAGAAATCTTTTGTTCCCATTCGTAATTACGAGCGCAATAGACCGTTAATTGTTGATGTTAATTTTGTAAAGAAACATTTTTGAGATAAACACAGTGTCATTAGTATTACATAACTTAACAATTTCCATTTCACAACTAATATTTCCATTCCGTTTTTTAAATTGACTTCTTCTAAAAGATTTTATTTGTTGACAGTAAATTTTAATTAGTTTTTAATAGTTTTGTTGATTTTTTTCATGAATTGTAGTATTGTTTCGGAATAACGTTGTGTGGTTCATGAAATCGGATTCTGTTCATTTTTTTGTTTGATAAGTTCACTTTCAATGTATGCTTATTAATACGAAAATTTAAACATATGTTCAAAGTAAGCTTACTCTACAGACATTAATCTCAAAAAGTATACGTTAGCAAAATTTATCGCTCTAATTAAGGCTTTTTCACAGATTAATGGTTCGTAAAAAAAGTTTTCATCTAAAATAATTATTCCCAAATCATTAACATCAAATTGGTAAATATCGTCGTTGCTGCCGCCGATTTATTGCGGAAACAGATAAACGTCGGAATATTTATTCTCCAGTCAATGAGGTAATAATACTATGAGGAGGAAAATATCGTCTTTGTTAATTATTCGTCATGAAAATTACTATAATCATACTGGATGCTCTTCTTGATCGGACCTCGAAATCTTTCCGGAGCCAGGAATTTCATTTCTCCATCAGCTTTTGCACTTGCCTGAAATGTTGATTTCAAATCGATCGTCCTGATGTTCTTTGGATAAATTTTATTAGAAACGAGTAAAATTTGGAAATAAAATCGGAACTTATTCGCTTTGTTCCGGAATTCTTTGAATGAGAAACAAATTTTGCACAATAATAAATCGGTCATGGAAGTGAAAAAAAAAAGAAAAAAAAAAAAGGTAGATTAACTTACCTGCAGCACAGGTATACATGCTAGGGCGATTGTTTCAATTTGTTCCGAGTATGTTTGACACAGTTCGTCAAATTTTAGCACACGAATTTGATAACGAAGCGGTTCACACTCGAAGATTCGCTTGCCAATTAGTTTGGGTGGCGGATGAGCGCACATGCAGCGTACTTCCGCCAGAGCTGCCGGAACTCTCTTAAAACATTAAATGTACTACTACTATCTTAGAATAGCACTGTATATAAAGTGCTGGAATGATAGATCATTTTCCTGTAATTGCCCTGCCCTGAGTGTTTCGATTTAGTAGGTAACGGATCAATGGCGTTATTCCTTCAAAATATTTCAAAACATTCAAAGAAGTTATTTGTGATTGCATTTTTTGAAGCGTTCTTTGTTGATCGATTAAATGCAAAAAATACATTTTACTTGTGCCATTTTGTGAGTTATTTATTTGTTTGAAATTGAATTGCAAATGAAAATCTATTATAGAGAGACGGATCAGAAATCCGGTACTCCGGAATTCTGATCATTCCTAAATTTGCTCCGCCCCTTCAATATGAGATATAATTGTGATGGAAGGAAGTATTGATTACTCGTGATAGATGATAATTATCAGAGTATTAGAACTAAGCTGATAAATAATTCCGTTATCAATCATTTTGACAAAAAGATTTTTTAATTGATAACAAGTTTTATTCAACTGATTGTTTTTCTGGGTTTCATCACATTTCGAGCTGTTTGTCACTGTAAAAAGGTTGTCAGCAGATTTCGTCAAAGAATAAAAGTTGAAATAACAATTTGAATTTCAATTTTTTCTTTCGCATTTTTCTGCTCATTCGTTCACATTGCAACAGTGCAATTCCTGGCACCGAAGCAATTTATCATTTTTTTGCTTCGTTTTGTTTTTCAGTGTAAAAATCAATTAAAACTGACACAAAAGGATATGATTGATTGTAAATTGACAAGAAATTCAGGCATTTCAAGCTTCAGTCATGCAAACCGGTATTTAGAGATATCTTCAACAGTCTTCCGAAGAAACGTTCCTGATGTAAATCTTAAGGTTCGCATTGCAGTCCGTCTTCCGCATAAAAAGATGAGAACGACGTACCAGCGGATTATAATTCAAAAAATATTCGAAATAACACAATGCGCGTTCTCTCAGCGGTGCTTCCGGTGTTATCGCTGGGAGTTCCGGGGTTTCGCAGTCAGCGACTCCATGGCTTACTTGTTCTCCGTCCTTCAGTGCATTTAACTAAAGTAAAGGATGCGTAAAGAACAATGGTAAAATCTCCACAAATATTCAAAGAAGTTTATGAGATTAAAGAAGAACTTACGACGAACTGAACTTTAAGTTCCGCGGTGCTTTTTTATTCTGCCCGCAGAATTAAGACGGCATTTTTCTTCTGGCATAAGCATAAGCAAAATTTGTGAGATTTGGAAAAAAAATTTTTTTTTTTTGTAATATTTATTCCTGGATAAATCGAAAGTTACAAAAGGAGGAGTCGAACAAATTATATACATTCAGCTCAGTTTCAGTTTTTAAAATTCTTTCTCTGTTTACCTTTTTTTTCTTTTATTTCCAATAATTCGAAAAAGGTAAACGGAATTGAATTATCGCTCTGTATCTCTTCCCAGTGTAATATATTCTTTTGTGAAATATTACTCCTTTATCAATCATAAACTGATAAGCATTATGAATCTGAGATTCCCCATTCCCTATATTTGCTACTTTGAATGAAACACTGACAGTCTTCCATTGAAATTAATAATTTATTCCAATTGAAATGGTTCAGGTAAATTAATTGTTGATTTGCCACATAGAACACCTTTGTCACAGTTGCCATTTGAATGTGTGATAAATCGATGTCAAAGTTAAATTTTGGGGAAGGAAAAGTTGCAACAGAGTAGCAAGAACTGAAATAATGCACGAAATAAATGCCCGCGGGATTCCTTCAAAAGTAAGTAATTTACTCTGACCTGTAAATTCAGTAACGATTGCTGATAAATGGGCGCAATGGGCGTATAATGCGAGGCATTCTTTCTGTGCAACCATTCCGCGAAACTCTGGTGATGATCTCTTTTGATGTAGCGGTAGAAACATTCTGAATTCCTTCCTGATTCCAACAATGTCTTAGCGACGTATTGTCCGTTACTGAAAATGCGACATCAAATGATGTTTATACAGATTATCAGCTTATCATTTCATTCTTTTTTTCAAATGATTTTACCCTATCAATAATTTTTGTAGCCTTAAATTGCGTAAAGTTGAAAACCTTTTAAATTCATTGAAGCCAATTAAAATTATAAGCCAAAATGGCTGCTCCAATAGCGAAGCTAGCAAGGCCAGTGTCTGAAAATAATGAAAAAAAATATAAAAAAAAAAATTTTTTTTGTCTTGTCTAAATTATACAATTAAAAAGCTAAATAAATAAGCATATAATAAATAAAATAAATAGGCAAATATAAATATATAAGCGATTTGATTTGGATTAAGTTTTATTACAACATACTTTATTTGTCTACCATACAACTTTTGATTATCTAGTTATTTACCTAAAACATATACAAGTACTACTCATATCATGTGGTACTTTTCTGCTTACATTATTGTTTATGTACTTTTGTTATTAAATAATTATTATGCTGTACAAATATGAAATTAACAGCAAATCATAATTAAATGTGCAATTAGCTAATTCTCCTCCTTAATTATTATGTTAACTATTAGTAGCTACGTGTACCCTTAATTATTTCTAATTGTCTGTTATTTGTGATAATCTTAACTTATAACTGTTATGATTTATCGCTTCTCAAAATAACAATGATGATTATTTATTAGAATATTCCATCAATACATTAATTCTGTATTATATTTTATTAGGTGCAAAAAAAAAAAAAGAAAATAAAGAAAATATCGAAGCAAAAAACTAATTTCATTTCAAAATTTTTTTACAATACAACAGAATTAAACAGTGGAAAAGAGTTAGTTAATTACTGAATGATTGAATGATCTTTGTGATTTGTTAATTATTCTAAACTCTTTGGAATGAATTGATTTTTCTAAAAAATGCATGCAGAACTTACATATAAATGATATTTTCAGTCTAAATTCTCTTCCACTTATGTTTTTAGGCAAAATTAGAAAAGAAATTTTGCCGTGTGATAAAAATATTAGTGTACCAAATGTTTTACGAATAATATGAGTAAATCACGAATAATGTGATAAGCTAATCTGCCAATGAAATAGATGGTTTTGAGAATTGTCATATGAAATGCTTTGAAATAACCATTTTACGAGAATTTACACATATATATATATATTCATTATATGCTATTCAAAACTAATAACTTATTTTATCCATTAAATGAAAAATTGATAAATTTGCACTTCTAAGGAATTTTTTTTTTCAAAAGTAATCAGATTTTGAATAACTAAGCGATAAAAGTACATCTTGTGATAATTTATGATTTTCAACTTTTTACATTTTTTGTTCTTTTAATTTTCATCTGTTTTAACTCTAAACTTCTAAACCTCTGTATGTTGATTATTTCAACACATTTTGAAAGCACTAGAACTAAATCTAAAGATTTGCGTTTGAAACTGAAAAACTGGAATTATAACATAATTAAAAAGTTCACTCAATTTTTTAAATGAAGAATCAATCTAATAATATATGAAGAAGTAGAAGTATTATAGATATATTCAACTAATCACATCCGAGTTGATATAAATTTTCTCTCAGTATTTGCTAGCAAATGTCATTTTGCTTGTAAACTTGAATTTTCTTTTATTGGTACCACATTTTGTTATATTTGTTTCTGTCATTTATTTCATTCCACTAAACGATAATTTCTTTAACAAACAGTCCACTTCTGATAATTCTGAAAATTATTCTGCTCTTTTCTTTTTTCTCTTTGATATTTTATTATAACAGAAAATGCATTGTGGAACATTTCCATATTTTTTTTATGCGCTTTAAATACTTTGAAATCACATCCTTAATGAATATTTTGCAGTAAAGTTTCTAGCTAAAGTATCATTAATTATTTCATTTGTTCAAAGACTAGTACAATCGTTTCATTGTTCAAGTGCTACGCTTAAATATTTCTATTAAATTCTAAAAAAAGGTTTGCTTGAACAACAAAGCATTTTAGGCTAGTTTATCGTTTTTTTTTAAAAAAATTTTAGTCATTTTTTAAAAACTACTTTTAATTTTAAATTACTTTAAAGCTTTTCCAACATATTTACCCATCAGTCACAGAGTTATCATTCTTAAAATTTGAATGGCGATTGCAATAATTGAATTCGTATCTTCATTGTATTTCTCCTTTTAATTTTATTGGTTTTTTTTCTAAATTAAGGTCCTTGCTAACTCTTATTTCATTGTTATATATATTAATCCGATGTATGTTAAAGAAAAATTAGTAAGATTGCTTAAAATAGTTCTGATATTTCTTATCATTTAATTGGATATCACTGACAACTACATTTGATCAAAAATATTGCAAAGCTTAGCATTAACTTTTCGAAGTTATCTGATCAATCGATATTCGTCATAGCTTTATGATTTAAAACTAAACAATTCAACAAGTACTTTCCTAACTTATTTCTATATTTACCATTATTTTTTAATGATCGTACAGTCATTAGTGGGTTATCACTGATATGCTAATTTCTTTATTTTACTTTTTTTTTTTCAGTTTCAAACCATAAAATAGTGCTTACTTTTGTTTGAAAATTTAATGATTGCATTTGTTCGAATTTGCAAATTCAATGAACTTTTTTAATTTTGAAGTTTGAAGATAATATTTATTTAAATATAAAAATTTTTGAAAATATGGTATTGCTTTTCATTTCAATTTAAAAATTTAACAACAATATCTTTTTTATTATTGAATTTGAATACAATATTTGTTCTAATTCTAAAACCTAAAAATACTATCTTTTAGTTTCAGAAACTGAAAATAAGACTTTCCTTTTACCATATCAAAACATAACAATACAAAGTATAAACTAATTTTCTTTTTCTTTTTTGTGAAGTAGTAGAAGTAGTAATTTAAAATGAAATTGGTCGGTCATTAAAATGCTTTATCTTTCATCATTAGTAATAATTCACTTGATGATTTTAAATTAGTCTTTTTTCTTACTTAATTTTAAATTTTAACTTCAGAAACTAAAAAAAAAATCTATCATTGGACATTACCAAAAGCGAAAGGTGTCAAAGGGTATTCCGTCAACTATTGTGCTTCATCTTTTCATAATATTCAATTCAGGAAAATGATAACTATGTTAATAGCTAGTGAGAGTAAATTTCAGAATTACTTGAAAGAAAAGCAAGCTAAAAATATATTTAGGAATATAAGCTAGTTATCAGAGTTAGAAATAGTTTGATCATAATTAGACATGAGTTCTATCAGGATATTCATATCCGGCATCTTGTCATAATACAACCGGAAGAAATGTTATACAATATAACAAAATTAATTGATAATCACTGTTAGATATGAAACAGTTATTTAGTGCAAATAATTACAAAGATTAAAATCCCTAAGTCCATGTTTCCATATTTTTCGTTTTTGGTAGACAAAAATTCTTCATTGCTATCTAATAATTCTTTTTTTTTCGTCTTATTCCTTTAATCTAAATTTTTTTTTAATTTCAAAAAATAAATTTCTGTATAATCAAATAAGTAATGAAATAGTTATGCCAGTAGCAGCTATGCTATGCAAATATAACTCTACTAGAAGATCTCACTATATTATGTAGTTGGTGAATTTATTTCCTTTTTTTTTGGTTTCCTAATTTTTAAAAATTAATTAAATTACTAACAGAATGAAAAAAAAATTTTACTGTTTACTGTAAAAATTTCCTAAACTAAAGATTTTTATTGTAATTTCTAAGATTTATTCAGATAATATTATCATTTACCGTAGGTAAGAAGTAGAATGAAAACAATTTAGTAAAAAAGAAACTTCATTTTTTTAAGTTTATTGATTTGTTACGGAATCTACATAATATTGTGATCCGGTCTTCTTTATGATTTTCTGCTCTAAATAGTTGTTACAAATTGCTTCTATATTATATTGCGCATTGAACAAACTGCCATCACAGTATTGTATCCGGTCATACCATATGCCGCTGGTACTGTACTCCGCATAACATCAGTCAAGACTATTTGCATAGCATTCCGTTATGATTGTTCACCCTTGTTAAATATATTAAACAAACAAATATCATTATACTTTATCCGATGACTACAGCCATTTATTTATGGCACTATATTTATTTAATAAATATACCTATGTAACATATTGTTACACTTGAATTTGTCATACTGTAATGTGTAATCTTAAGTGAAAACATACGTTTATGCATGTAACAATTTGTATATAAAGTATTTGCATTTTACTTCAATTTTGAATTAATACAGTGAATTCTTTAGAAATAATTTTATAATTATGAATGATAACGGTATGTGTTAGAGATTTGTTGCTTTATTATGGTTAATGTTTGTGGTTTTGGTTGTAATCAATAAATCAACTGAATCAGAAATGGAATACGAATACATTGCCAATTCGGTCAAATAGTCAAATGAGGATTAGTTAATTAGTGTCTCTCGAGAGGATTGCTTCCCGAGAGATTTCACAAATAATATTTGATTTTCCGAATCTATATATTTTTTCTTAATTTTATATTAAGCAATAATATAAAATCATTTTTTAATCATTTAGATGACTTTTTTGCAGATGATCTCTTTATGGTATCGAGCTATATTTTGGTAATTTCAGCCATACTTAGCTAATTAAATCCTAACTTAGCTAATAAAAAAGCACTAATATTTTTGTTGACTTCCGGTTTATTGACCTGTTATAAGCTAAATAGGGAAAAGAAGCGAACGAAGTATTAAGAAAAAAAAAAACAGTTATGATCAGCGCAATCTGAAATATTAATGCAATTTATGAAAGTTAAAGAAAAAATAAGAGAAAAAATATTTCATTTCTACGACAATAATACCATGGTGCTAAATTTTCAGCTCTTTAGCTCTTCTTCAATTCAGTCTGAGTCAAGTAGCAACTCACTGTGGCAATGATTTTATTGCTTAATGTTAATGACATGACATGACATGACATGACATGACATGCTTACTAACATTTCTTCTAAGTGATGTCTGTGGGATGCAAATTACATTTATATATTAGCTAGTTCATTTGTTCAAGCTTCCTCTTCACCAATAATTACAATAAAAATAAACAGTTGGAAAGTTAATGAAAAAAAAAGCAAAGTGACTGCTAATTTTAATTGCAACTTTACATAAGGTTTAGAATAGCAAAAAACTTTCCGTTAATGAAAATTAGTTTAAGTATAAAAACTACTCGCAGTACATGTATTAACAGTTTGCATTAAAGAAGTAATTATTTGACAAATAACAATTTTTCAGACTATGCTTGCAATCTCAACCATTCAAATTATATTCTTAATTTACGAAGCAAATGACACATGATAGGATAATCTGTAAAATAATGATAAGCGAAATCACTGGTATACTTAAATTGTTTATCTCTAACCTTTCGCTGCATATTATTGCCTACGGTATACCGTAGCCAGAAATTACTTTTACAGTATACTAAAATGCAATATACTAGATGATTTAAATTTTTAGTGTGAATTAAATTTAGTGTAAGATAATTATGCAGCATTAAATAAAAAAATTTTAGATCGTTTTTGAAAATTATAGAACAATTAGCAACAAAAAAGTAGTGCATGAAAAATTAATTCAAATTATTAAAAATAATTTTATAGGAAGAGATTAATTTTTTTGGCTACTTTATCATATTTATTATATAGCCTTTGTATTACTGCTAGTAATATTATATCTGATAAGATATGCCATTCTGGTTGTTATCAACAATTAATGCTCAATCATTAGCAATAATTATTGGTAAATGAAAAAGTCTCAATTGTATTATGGCTCAGTGCTTTTTTAGCCGATTACTTAGCTTTTATTTTTAATTAATTGCTTATTTGTGAATTGTTTGCTTATTTTGTCAATTGTCACTACACTTTTCTTTTCCTAATCTGTTTGATCAGTTTGCTTCTTTTTCATTCAGTTGTTTACTTTTGAACTTATTTTAGTCTTTTTATATCACATCCTTTAAATGATACCTTCTGTGAAGACTAAAATTTAACAATGCCTTTATAGATCTGTCTTGTCATAGCTTAAGCTATTTGTATTTAAAAAAATTGCTAATGAAATCAAATCATTAGC